GTACTTCTGAAACAAATAATGCAATATATGTTAAGAAAAAAAAAGAAGAAGAAGAAGATAGCAAGAGGGGAAGAATGAAGGGGAGTAAGTTGGAGGGGGAGACGAACCATGAAAGACGATGGACTCTGAAAAACAAACTGGGGTTTCTAGAGGGGAGGGGGGTGGGGGGATGGGTTAGCCTGATGATGGGTATTAAAGAGGGCACGTTCTGCATGGAGCACTGGGTGTTATGCACAAACAATGAGTCATGGAACACTACATCCAAAACGAATGATGTAATGTATGGTGATTAACATAACAATAAAAATTTTTTTAAATAAGCAAATGAGGTGCTAATAACAGAATTTATCTCGTAGAGGAGTTGTGAGGATTCAACAAATACCTAGAACAATGACTAGCCCCTCATAAGTGCTGAATCCATGTTTTATACAGAATATAGTGAGGTGGATTTACTTATCTTTTTTATCTTGTTGAACTGTATTAGCCACCCTAAAATTTTCTAGAACAAAATGACAGAGTACACAGTATCTGAGAGTACAGGGTTTGGAGCCCAAGAAACCAGTGATTTAATCCCAAATTGTGAATTTTTTCAGCTCTGAGAATATAAATAAATCTTATAAGTGCTTTGAAACTTGGAATCCTCCTCTGTAAAATGAGGTTAATAACAGTACCTAATTCCTAGAGAATTGTTGTAAGAACTAATGAAGTGATCAGATGCAAAGGACTTAGGTCAGTGCAGAGTAAACACTCAATACCTCTGAGAGTAATTGACAATTGTGAAACAATTGTTGGCGGTATTAAGCAAACACATAAATCCTGTGCCAAGAATGGTGGAACTGAAATGGCTTTAGAAATAAAAGTGTGTTGACTTTTCAACCTGGTAGGAAAACTTGGGATCTATAATGGTGTCAAGCCCGGCATCTCAGTAAGTGCGCCCTCATCCATGTGGTGAGGGAATTGCCCAAACGATCTTGCAGATGTTAAGGCACAAACATGTGCCCTTGAACTCCAGATGAAATTCCATGGAAGTTGACCTTCAGATGTGTTTTCTCTCGTTCAGGTCTCTGTTATCCCCTGTGTGCGAAAAGATTGATCATAAAACAGAAAATGTCATTTAAGAAGCTTCAGGGTTGAAATAGTAGAAGCAGAGCCAAGCTTAGTGGTAATCATCAGAATCTTGTCTATCAAAGTAGAAAAACCAACCCTCCAGATTGAAATAAGAAGCTGTCCTTCCAGTGCCAAACTCACCAGGGCAGAGCATTGGATGTATGAGAATCCTGCCAGGATGGGATTGGTCTATCCTGCCGCAAAGTATATGCCATAATCTCTGGATGAGCCGAGGCTACTTTAAGAGGCTCTGGCCACAGTTTTTTAGCCATGTTGTTCTTAATGCAGCTGTGAGACCCTTTTGGTTATTTTCAAACAAATAACCAAAATAAGTTCTTTATTTACTTGGGGCTCAAGCAGACAAAGATTAGAATAATGTTTCCTAAACCAGGCCCTGGCACACCTTGCTACTCAAAATGCTGTTCCTGGCCCAGCAGCATGCTCAAACAAACGTTAATATGCAAAAAACAAAAACAAAAACAAAAACAAAAAAAACAAGGGTTTCCTGAAAAATACGTGGATTCTGAGTCCAAAGACCTGGTGTGGAGCTTAAAGTCCTTCATTTCTACCAAACTTTCCATCAGTGCTGCAAGTCTAGTCTAGAACCTTGCTGCTCCTAGCATGGTTCAGCAGAATTCACTTGGGATGCACATTCTCTGTCCCCTCTCCAGACTTCCTGAATCATCATCTGCATTTCAGCAAGACCCTCCACGCCCTCCAGCCCCCAGCAGTTTCTATGTACATGAAAGATTCAGAAGCACTGCTCTAGAACATATGGGAATCCATTCCCTCAAGGCTTTGGTTGCACAATGTACCCAAAAGTCCTGAGATATATTATCCTGCTAAGGTCAACTCTAGAGGGCTCTGCCTGTGTCCCTTCCAGTCCTTTTCCACTTTCATACACAATGCTTTCACTTCCAACAGCCAGGACCCTTGTCTCTTTGTTTTTTTGGTTTTTTTTAAGATTATATTTGTTTATTTGAGAGAGAGAGAGCACGAGAGGGAAGAGAGTCAGAGGGAGAAGCAGACTCCCCGCTGAGCAGGGAGCCCGATGCGGGACTCGATCCCGGGACTCCAGGATCATGACCTGAGCCGAAGGCAGTTGCTTAACCAACTGAGCCACCCAGGCGCCCCCTTGTCTCTTTGTTGGCTGCTTCCTCTGGATCTGGAAACCCCTTTGCCTACTACCAAGGAAACCAGGAAGTGCCTGGGGATTCCATCCCCTCCAGTAGCCCTTAACCAAGAATAACAGACACAGGCATTACCACACTCCAGCTCCCTTGTTCTTCATCAAAAACTCAACTTTGGTATGTGGTCTATATCAGGATGGAGAAAACCAAAGTTACCATCTGCCTTCTTCCTTCTTCCTTCAACCCTTCTACCCCCAATCCTGCTCAGTCCCATATAAAGTTGCCAGAAAACCCTTCATAATAAACCCTTCTTCATAAATCCTTGTCTCAGGGTCTGCTTCTGGGGAAACCAAAGTAAGACACATGTTGTTTTAGCTCAGTGTGATATAGACTGAGACCAGTACCCAACCAACAGTTGGGTGATTTCTAAAGTTCCCTTGATCATTGCATTAGTCCCTGAATCTTTGATGTAGCCTGGGTCAGATCTTTTGAACATCTCAAAAGGCTGCAGGAAGCCAGTGAATTCTAGGAATTCCACACTTGGAAATTTAGATGCTCACATTCTGACAATGTGATGAAAATAAATTACACTTGACTTGCTGAATGAGCTAACTGTGGCTGTATGGTGAAGGTGGTGATGATGCTGTCCTTCAACTGGTTTGATAAAGGACCCATAAAAAGAGCTAAGGATCTAGAAGACCTGACCAAATGCTACAGCCACAGCCACCAGCTACCTGTGGCTAACTGAGTACCTGGAAGGTTCCCAATGCCAACTGAGATGGGCTGTTAAGTGTAAAACCCATACCTCACTTTAAAGACTAGGCACATAAAAAGAATACAAAATATCTCAATTTTATGTTGATTACATGATTAGTAATGTTTATGAAATATTAGCTAAAAATATATATATTAAAATTAGTTTCACCTGTTTACTTCTACTTTTTTAATGTGGCTACTAGGAATTTTTAAATTATATATGTAGCTCACATGGTATTTCTATTGGGCTGGGTATAATAGAGACATTACCTTTTGACCTAAAAGGTCAGACCCAGTTTAAATTTCCCCAACTCTTCATAATGCCTTCACTGTACCTATTTCAGGTGTGGAATTGACCCCCAGTAAACATACAAAGTGGTAAAGTTCCCATCGAGGTAGGAATGTCTAAAGTTTGACCCTTAGCTAAGAAATTATTATACCAGAAACATATTATAAAAACCAGAGCTAGTAGTTACTCTTAGTTTAAAATGATCAGACTTGAGGAAATTTATTTTAAAGCTGTTAAAATGTTATTCCAATGCTTCTGTGCTTATACATAGTGTGCTGGTCAGTTCTTTTGCTTCACTCACAAGTACTCTGTGCTGTGATCTTCCAAGCCCTTCACCAATAGGGTATAGAGGTCAAGGCCCCCAAAATTCTCTCCTAAACTGGGACAGCTTCTTAACTGAGTTCCTTCTTTTTGGTTTCTCAGCTTCAACTCCATCCTCCAAATGGCCACCAGGCAATCTCCCTAACACACAATCTGGCCTCAGCTCTCCTCATCTCTCACCCTAAAAATGGGCCTTCAGTAATTTCACATTTCTTGCTAAGTTATCTCCGGATACCTCAACAGACTTAAATGCTCTCCATACTCTGCCCCCAACTCTACTTTTCTCATTGCAACTCACCTTCTTTTTTCCAATTCCTATTAGACTCCTCCCCATTCCCTCTGAGTCCTACTATGTGTGCTTACCTCTGGTTTTTCTCCCAGTTTTCTTTGCTTAGAATTCCCTCTTCCCTCCTTCAGCACTCTATACCCCAAGTCCTACCTCAAATGTCACTGTGTTACATGATGGTATATTATCAGTGCCTTAAGTCAGGATGCAAAACACAGAAGGCCAACAAAACAACAGCAGAAATAATACAATGAGATGGAAAAGCTGTTGAATTAAAAAACATGGTTTCTTAGCTCTCATGTCTTCTCTTAAAGAATGGGGGGTGGGCAAGATGTTAATTTTGTGTTCAAAACCATCACTCAAAATGGAACTTCAACTTTCTGTGTGGATTTGCTCTTTTCCATTTTCTTGGAAGCCAAGTGAGATCACTGGTGAGTGGTTTGAGGTAGGGATTAAGATTAGGGGAGTAGTGAGCGACTGACATAATTGGGAGAGTGTGACATTGTGACTGCAAACGGTTTCAAGAACTTCTAAAACTGTAATTAACATTTAAAGATTCCCTGGTATAGCTGCTTTGGCTTGAGTAGTAAAGCAAGATTACATCTGCAGGTGTATTGAAAATATATTTGACTAAATTTTCAACTTTTCTATAACTCTTTATCTCTTTATAATGCTAGGAAAGTAGTAAAAAATACTTGGTTACTGAAAGGCAATCTGCCAGGTCCCTATAAATAGGGATTTTTAAAAGCAGACAAAATTTTGTTTATGTGTAAAGAACATTTCCTTAGAAAGGAGCAGTAACTCGGGGACTTGAATTTAATTATGTCATTTTTACAAAAGAAAGAAAGAAAGATCGAGGGAGGGAAGGAAGAAAGGAAGGAAGGAAGAAAGTAATGGAGGGAAGGAGGGAGGGAAGGAGAGAGAGAGAGAGAGAGAAAGAAAGAAAGAAAGAAAGAAAGAAAGAAAGAAAGAAAGAAAGAAAGAAAAAGAAAAAAAATCCTTTAGGCATACAAATTGAACTAATTTGCCCTTCCTGGTAGCCTAGCTAAAAACATGTGTCTAATGACTGGAGAGTATTTAAGCTAATGCAAGTGTGATTTACATCTTTCAGGAATGGACAAATGAGGTTTTCAGTTTGGCAACAAACCTGCTGGCCCAAAACATGTCAAGAGATGCATTTCTGGAAAAAGCGTAAGTAGCTCTAATTTTATTACTAAGGGTGTTGCTTCTTCTGAGTCAGTTTCCTTTCTCCTTTGTGAGTCTTTTGTTTATGCTGCACTGGCTTCGCACATTGATAAACATAAACTTCCCTTTGGGATTTGTTAGAGAACTGATACCTCCACTGTTTGGAATTGGAAAACTTCCAAGACAGATCGCTCTTTTCCTCCGAGCTGCACATCCATGTTAGGCTGAGTTCCTCTGAATGTCAGTGTCTTTGACACGCTATAAGGAGACACGTCCAAATCCCAGCAGCTGTGCTCAGAACCAAAAATTATTAATTTCAGAGAGCCCTCTGCTTCTACATAGGCCTGTGTCATATCAATTATTAATCTGACAAAGGGAAAGAAGAACATACGGTACTCATTTCTCTCCAGTCTTAGATCTCTGATAGATGCTATAATAACTTCCCTGCCTACCTAAATCAATAGGCTGATGTCCCGATTCCTGCCCTTAGACCATCACAGAAAGTGTTAGTAAGAAAAGAGAAAAAGATGTGGAGGGAGGCACAGAGTGAAAAGGAGAAGGAAAGAGAAGCAAAACAGGATTACCCAATCACTCTGGAATTACACAGTCTTTCTAAAAATAATCTGACCAAGGAAAATAATGATTTTTGCCAGATGAGCAGCAAGGAGAGCTGTATGCATTCACTTTGGAAGCTATGGATGGCCAGGAGGTTTGGAAGCCTTGAAATCAAAACCACAAGTGGAAACATTACTAGTCCTCTATTTTATTACATTTCTCTTTTTCCTCTTCTTCTGTAAGACATACCCATCGTTCGAGACCTAAGACTCCAGCCTACATTTCTTTCTTACTCTTCTGTGAATTCCTTTTACTGTTAGTACTCCATAGGTCTTCACTTAAATGTTTTTTTCATGTGATCATCTCCTCTTTGGTTTGTCACCTTGAGGACACTTCTAATGCCTCCCCCTACCCCCTTCCTTTCTTCTTTCTTTTTACTGACTTTGATCTTACCATCCTTCAACTAACAGACGTTTCTAGAACATCTGTTGTGTCAGATGATATTAGTGGAAGGGGACACAGAGATGAAGAAGACGTCTTATCTGAAACGTCTCATGTTATAGCCAGTAAACCTCTATTTGGCAAATCATTATTGATTGCAAATGTCCCTTTCCAACAGGTGTCTCCCTACAAATAGCTGCTATGGACATTCTAGAACATGCCTTTTGATGAATCCATTATAAGCCTTTCTGCTACCTATACATCTAGATGGGGGATTGATAGGTCATATGCAGTTTCCTAAAGTGGTAATCCCAATCCACACACCCATCAGCAGCGTTTGAAATTTCTGTTGCTGTCTCTCTATCCACATGTCCAAAAGCAGTCGAAGAGATAAATGCAGTAGTTATACTGACACAATCAAATACTTTGCAACGAGAGTGAATGATCCACAGCTATAAGCAAAAAATGAGGATAGATACCAAAAACATAATATGGAACAAAAGAAGCCAGACACAAAATGATGTGATTCTGTTTATATAAAGTGCAAAACCGGCCAAAAAGAAATGTATGTTGTTTGAAGTCAGAGTAATGGCTCCCTTTGTGGGCCTGGCTCTGGAAAGGGGCATGAGAGGGGCTTTTGGGATGCTGCTAAAGGGAGAAGTTTCTATTTCTTGATTTGAATGCTGACTGCAGAGACCTGGACAGTTTGTTGAGATTCAGCTACTAGTACATACGCATGAACCCTTTTCTATATATTTTATTCTTTAATAGACAGCTTTTTAAAGATTAAACACTTTCTTTTCTGCTTCTCCAACAGCTATACTAAGCTTAAGCTGCAAGTCACTCCAGAAGGGCGCATTCCTCTCAAAAAGTAAGCTACGGGAGCATTTCCCAGTCAGTGTTCATGTTCTTTTCTCAAAGATTTGACTCTGTGCCATGGCTGTGTTTTGTTTCTCCACTGGCCCAAGTGGGAGCCTGAGAATGCATGGTAACCCCGTTCTCCCTCCCCCCCCATGTTCACATCAATGCAGCTGGTTTCCCCATAAAGATTTTACTGTGGCATCATTTTCAAGAAACAACAAAGCAGGAAGAGGGGGGAAGGGGTGGGGGAAACTTACTGTTAAACCCAAAAGGCCTTTAAGATTCAGATAGGTTCGAGGAATGGCAATTGGGCGCCCTCAGTGCCACTTTCTACCAAGATGATGCTAGCCTTGAAGGAGGGGCTACAAACTCAAATGTCCACAGAAACCAGTCAGGGAATTTATGGGACAAAGCAAGCCAGGAGCCCGAAGAGCTGGAGTGAAACCCCATCTGGAGGAGACAATGACAATTCAACTCTACCATATTCCTTATGGGACTGGTGGGCTCTGGATGCTAGATTTTGTCATGTTTTGATAGAACCCATAAATTCAAATTCTTATATTCAATTCTATTTTTAATATAATACTTAAACTCTATTTGTCAATAAATTGACCACTTTTTTATTGAAGTATAGCTGATACACATAAATGTTCTTTTTTAGAATGCATCCTTAATCTTTACCCTTTGATCTACTAGCTACTCGTAGGCTCTTGTTCATTGCAATGTTAAATTATTATTAATAATAGTAGTAATTACTTGTTTCTTAATAATATTAATAATGTAAACCTTTAGAGCAATAGGTAGCAGCAAGGAGAGCGAGTTATCAAGGATGTATTTTAGGCTTACTCTTAGAGGCTATTTAGGACAATGTTTTTTAATTGGGTCATCACCTTTGCCTCAAGATGTTGATTTTATATTAACATCTTCATTTTAAAAAGCACATACATAGACCTTTTAGAACCTATATGCAGATGCATGGAGCGGTGGATATTTGGAATGACAAAAGGGTTTGATTCAATGGGATACTGTCGGTTGGTGTCATCTATAAACCTGTGATCCATAACTCACTGTTGTGATTTCACTTCACAGCATATACCGCTTGTTCTCAGCAGACCGGAAGCGAGTTGAAACTGCTTTAGAGGCTTGTAGTCTTCCATCTTCAAGGGTGAGCATGTTGCTTTTCTAAAATTAGCACTACTAAATAGCTGTGAATAATTATACTGAAATATAACTTGCCCCCATATTACCCAAACACTTTTTAAAATTAAGAAGACCATAGGATTCACTTGTTAATATTTACAATGTATGGGGCCACCATAATTATATTTTCTTTCATTCCCATAAACCCAATATGTTGATCTAGAAAGACCCTTGTTCTTTGTAAATAATGATTTTTAAGAACCATCTGATATAAAAAGGTATTGACCAAAATGTATTATTGTTAAGAATTTAAACTTCTCCTTAATAACAAATCCTTTGTTGATGTCCCTGGAGACGTTAGCTAATAATTGTGGATTGTGGTTAGGAAGTTATTTGAAATATCCATTTCATCACATTCCATCCTTTTTAAATGTCTGGTTTTAAGAGGTATAAGTTAATATGCAATTAACATGGTAACACATGTTTAGATATAATTATATTGACATATTCTGCAGGGCTGTGCTCACAAAGTTTTGCTGGGAGGAGTGCAGGTTCAGTTTGGAGACCCCCTAATTTGCTCATATGGTGGTAAAGTGGATGAGAGGAAAACCACGTATCATGCTTTTTTTTTAGGCCCAACACATTGGAGGCACCCATATATGTTGCCCACACAAATTAATTTGCCTTCATTTCAATGCATTTCTATATAACTGGCTCTAAAATTGTTTGTTACCATCGTTTCTAGGAGATCAGAGTCTGTTGTATAAAACATTTTTCTCAGGCTATATGCAGAACTCGTCTCTCTATTGCAAATTATTTTTATCCTAGTATCTAAGCAACAAGTAAGCTCTTTCCCAAGGATAACACTTACACTATAGGGAGAAACTTTGAGCCTCTTGGAACACTCTGGCAATGTTCAAGTTGCATTGAATGAAGTTAAGAAGCCATTGCTAAACTTATCATTAGGTTATGAAAAAGTATTGAGTGTTATTATTAAATTTGTCAGCCCATTCTTGTTGTGAACACTTTTCAGGAAAGTGAAGTTTATTAAGGACTTTGGTAGGTAATGGAAAGAAATGAAAGAGTGCTCCCCCACTCTGAGTTTCCTGTTATAGGTGGAAAAGGCTGGTGATGCTGCCAACACTGGACAGAGCCCCGGAGAGACTCCCCCAAACAATTTAACCTTCACTTTCATAAGCAAAATAAAATGACCAAACTTATTATTGCTCTTTCTTAGATGCTCTGGGGTAGGACAGATATGCCAGTTAAGGTCCTATCATTTGCTCAACAAATATTTCTTGAACTCTTACTACCTGCCCTCAGGACTGAGAATGGGGTAGTGAACAAAATATAGTCCCAAGATTCAAGGACCACAGAGTTTCTGGGGGCTCTCCTTAAACATGTGGACCAACACAAGTGTAAATGGGGGGTAGGGAGTGGTGCCATGAGCAAAAGGAGTAGAGGGCTGCCATTGCGCATAAGAGAGGATCATTCCAGAAAAAGAAAACAATGTGTGCAAAGCCCTGAGGCTGGAAAGAATTTACCGGTCTGAGTAACAAAAAAGACCTCTGAATTTAAGCATAAAAAGGAAGCTTGAGAGATGAATTTAGAAAGACATGAAAAGAATTTTTTTTCCTCTGCAATTGCTCCTGATTTTACCTTTACTGGATAACATCTTATGAATATAATGACCAAAAATTTTAACGTATTATAAATCTAGCTAGGGAAAGAAAGAATGGAAGATGAAACTGACTAGAAAATCAAATCCATTAACCAATTCTCTGTAAATTGCAGTTTGCTAAACAATTGGATTCTGACAATTCAGTCAGTAAATATAAATTGAGTTTTTACAACCCACTATGTCTATTATAGGTTCATGCTTTCAGACCAATATCAACTGGAGACATTCTTAAAAGAAAATAAGATTCAAATAACAGGAGTTATGTTTAAATTGAAAAAATATATCTTTAGTAAATTAGATGCTATGATAATTTTCTGAAAACAAATTGGAGATTTTTAAAAAAACAGAATCAACCTCCATCATGAAGTCTTGATAGATCATTATTCATAGTAAAGTATACTTTACTTGGAGGACTGACAACTTGTAGAATTAGGATGCTTTCTAAAGATCTAAAAACCAAAGATAATTTCAGGGCTAGGAAGTAAATGTTTCCCTAAACTGCCTATATTTTAAATCCTTGTTGTAATTTCAAATCTACAGAACAGAGGTTCTAGAAAATATCCACTAATTAGCAAAAAGATTCTGAATACACTGACAAGAGGTGTTTTAAACACTCCACAGAAGAAAAGGTTACATAAATGGTAGATAGCACTGTATATCTGGGAGCCTCATTTCATAGCCAGTGGTCGTTCAGACTAGATTGTATTGTGTTCTGTAAATAGATACATTACCAGAAACACTGGATATCCTGTTGAGATTTTTTAAACATTATCTTTGTGCACATTGTTAGGGATAATTAATGCACTTGAAGATGTATCCTGGCCAACACGATCTGCTGGAATAACACATTCCTTTAGAGGGTACTCCTTTAGAGATTACAGTTGCTTGCCAAAGTTACCTTAATTGTTAAAAAGTAGCACTGTATCTAAAAAGAGAGACAAAGCAATTACTGTCCTTCTATTAATAATCCAAACATATTTTCCAGGGAGACCTTCGGAGACCTTTCCATATTCAGAAAATTACCATTTTACCCACAAATTTTCTGAGAACTGAAAGTAGTTTACTTGTACCAAATTCCTTTTGATTTCAGGCTTATTAACTTGAAAATAGCTCAGTGACATTTGGAGTTGTATGATAGTCATTGCATAGCACTGGCACTTTAATGAACAAGATAGGAATAAATCCATGGACAGTTGTCCCCAGAACAACACAGATTTTTAAATCGCACAGGTCCACTTATATGTGGATTTTTTCAGGAAATACAGTACAGTACTGTAAATGTATTTTCTCTTCCTTATGATTTTCTTAATAACATTTTCTTTTCTCTAGGCTATGTTATTCTAAGAATACCATATAGAATATATATAATATACAAAATCTGTGTTAATTGACTACTGATGTTATCAGTAAGGCTCCCAGTCAACAGTAGGCTATTAGTAAAGTTTTTGAGGAATCAAAAGTTATACCTAGATTTTTAACTGTGTGGCAGAGGGTCAGCACCCCCAAACCTCTGCATTGTTCAAGGGTCAGGTGTATTTGCTTTAAATAATAAAGTTGTTATAGTTATGAACTTATATGTAATACCAAGGAAAACAGTGATTATTTTGGATTTAAAGAATACCATAGAGGGCACATAGATGGCTCAGTTGCTTAAACACCCAACTCTTGGTTTCTGCTCAGGTCATGATTTCAGGGTCGTGAGATCAAGCCCTGCATCGGGCCCAGCACTCAGCACAGAGTCTGCTTGAGATTCTATCTCTCTCCCCCTCTGTCTCTCTCCCTGCTTATGCTCTCTCAAATAAATAAATAAATAAATAAATAAAATGTTTTTAAAAAAGAGTACCACAGATTTTACTGAAGAATACAATAAATAAAACGTAAAAAAACTTCTCCCAGGATGACTACAGTATGTTGCCTTTCTCCTATGCCATACACCCAGAATATAAATCAGAAATACAATCATTTATGTAACTGTGACTCCTAAAACCACTAATATCAAAATTCTATCTTTAAACCACACTAAGAATTTGGTGTATTATGAGTAATTTACTTGTAATTATTTCACGTACTCTATGGCCAACTCATTTTTTGCCTTACAGATTTAGAACAAAAATACTGAGAATAAGTTGATGTGAACATTTAGTTTGTTGGATTATAGTGTGAGTTATGGAATCAAACAACATAGATTCAAAACCATAGCGGCTCCATACACAAACACTTGGGACCTTAGACAAGTTTTATAAGCTGCCATGTCCCTAATGTTTGCATCTGAAAAGGGTCACAACCACATAGAGTTGACATGGGATCAAATGAAAACATATAAACTCCGCATGTGTGGCACACAGTAAGTGCTCAGTAAATCTTAAATATTTTCCTCTGAGTATTTTTCATTTGCATATATGTGGGGTTTTTTTCTCTTTCTTATTTTTAATTTAGCATGTGGATATGTCATAACTAGGTCTGTGGAATCTGGAAATACAAATGCCTTCAGTACTACCATCAAATTTTAAAAGAATCTTTTCCCTTTTGGGATTCTTTGTATCCAAGCATGGAATTGAAGCAACTTCATTTTTATTTTTTTATTGTTTTTTTTTTTAAGATTTTATTTATTCATTTGTGAGAGAGACGGAGAGAGAACAAGCAGGGGGAGAGGCAGAGGGAGAGGGAGAAGCAGACTCCCCACTGAGCAAGGAGACCAATGCAGTACTCGATCCCAGGACCCTGGGATCATGACCTGAGCCGAAGGCTGACGCTTAACCATCTGAGCCACCCAGACGCCCAGAAGCAAATTCATTCTTAAAGTTTGCCAATACTTTGTAGTTTCTGGAATAAATGGGCCCGATTCAGACTATAATACCCTTCTTAATTGTCCCTCCAAAAATTTCTGATAACAATAGCAACAAATAATCACAGATGATCTGTTTTGTATTGGAAGCATGATGTGGTGAGCCAAGTCTTAGAATACAAGACAAAAAACCTAAGGTCAGGTCCCATGTCCTGGGTTCACCAGCAGATGTTGATTGGGTAACTATTATATGCCTGGCAGCATGTTTGGGACACAAAGGAATTAAAGAAGAGATAGTCACTTCACTCAAAAACTCACAGTCTAGAACCATGAGAGACGATGGACTCTGAAAAACAAACTGAAGGTTCTAGAGGGGAGGGGGGTGGGGGGATGGGTTAGCCTGGTGATGGGTATTAAAGAGGGCACGTTCTGCGTGGAGCACTGGGTGTTATGCACAAATAATGAATCATGGAACACTACATCAAAAACTAATGATGTAATGTATGGTGATTAACATAACAATAACAAACTTAAAAAACGAATGATGTAATGTATGGTGATTAACATAACAATAAAAAATTTAAAGAAAAAACCTCACAGCCTAGTAGAAAATCAGAAATATAAAAAATATGGGGGAAACTGTGTGATAGATATTATAATAAAAGTATATAAATGCCGATTCTGAACACAAAAGAAGACTGTGCCATCTTTAGCTAGTGTGGTCAGGAAGGATTACAGAAGAGTATCTGAACATTGAGTATGATCTTTAGAGTGTTGGATTGGGGGCTTCCTCCTGCTCAGATAGGATACAATGAATCTGTTCCATCCACTTCACCAAATCATGAGATCCAGGAAAAGAAATTTTAAATGAGATTTGTGAATTTCAGCCTTGTTAAAATGTAAGGAATTAGGACTTGTCAATAGATTTTCCACAAATACCTCCCTTATACTTTAAGTTCAGCTTTTAACGATGCTCATTTTAACTCATGTCTCCAAAAATATTTCTTCTCCTATTTTCCTACACTGACCCCAAAGGCTTTAGGATATCCTCATCAGTCAAGTTGGGCAAAGAAAAATGAGACAAAGAAAATCAGCTGTATTGAAGTGGTTTCTTTTCTATGTGCTAACATCTAACTGGCAATGAGAATAATATTGTGTTTATTTAGATTATCTCATTGATTTTTCCTCTTTAATAAGAAGTCCTAATTCACAGCTGGTAAATAATCAACAGAGTTTTAGGAAAGCATACTGTTCTATGAAATTATGTGTATGGAATCTTATATAAATGACTTCAGTTGAATCTGATATCCTATGGGAATTCTGTTCTATCAACTTCCACCTTTCTCATAAATTACATTTATTTATTTCTTAGATATTTATTGTGGACTTACTGTACGTTACACACTGGAGATCTAGAAGTTAACAAGCAACACACAGGTCCTAGCTTGCGTAGTTCTGCGTGTTAGCAAGAAACAAACATACAACTGGGAGCACAATACAGTTTGAGTGTTGAAATACCACACCAGTGAAATGTAACAGTAGCTCAGAATGGAAGACAAAACCCAGTTCAGGAAGAAGAGGTTTTAAACTAACACAAGAAGAGAGAAAAAAATAAAAGCTCAGTAAGACCCATGTATAATGATCCTAAATTGGACCACTGCTATGTAATGGACCTTGCTATGTATAGTGCTACAGGTGTTGTTTGGTTATCTCAAAATTCTGTTTTTGCAAAATAGACTTTATTCCTGCTGTATAAATGGATTTAGTAAAAGAAATATTATTTTATTCATTCATTCCACAAATATGAGACTCCTGCTGTTTGCCAAGTGGTGAGTTAAGTTCTCTTATCTGTTAGCAGGCAGGGTACAATTTCAGAGAACAATTTTAGGTATTTCTATAAAAGTACCTTTCAAAACATATGCATATGGTAAAAGGAAGGGGTTTTTTTTTGCTGGGTTTTTTTTTTTTTGGTTTAAGGGCTTAAAAATAAAAATAATTATATAAACACATACCTGAAATAGGAAAACAGCATGGAGAATGTCTTTCCTGTTAACAAAGGCTTGAATACATGCTTCCGGTTTCCATGGCAGCCCGACTAAACAGAAAAATAAGTCACAGAAATGACTTTTTATATCAATGACTTGCTTCCCAAACAGTAAGACCAAGAGGAATCAGTGAGAAATAATGACTAGTGCTGTCCTACTTACAAAAACTGTTCTACAATTTATCAGATTACTTAAACCGGAAGGAACATTGTTTGGAGAAAAAAAAAGATACAAAATTGGAATTTATGTTTTCATTTTGAAAATGTCTATTTCCAGGTCCTTTGCTCTTTAAAAAAAAATCATTCAAACATCTGCTAAATAGCACATAAACAATGTGAAAATTCTTCATGCCACTGTACACTGAAAAATGGTTAAAATGGTCATTTTTATTTTATGTGTATTTTATAATGATCGTTTAAAAAGATTAAAACTAAAAAAGAGAAAAACAGCCTAAAAGAAATCTGCTATACAGACCTTGGTTTTGCTAGGTCTAACTTACTTAGTAAATATACTTTAAAAATCGCCTTAACATCCTTTTAGACGCAGAAAACTCTTAAGCTTAAATGATAATGAAAAAGCAACAGAAAGTACGGCTTTTGATTCCTCAAAGCCAGTGTCCAAATGAACTCTACAGCTGTCCTCATAGATGTTTTCTGCATGTTTACCCTGACCTCCTGGAGAAAGAGGAAGGGAGAGAGAAACATGAAAAGAGTTTGGGGGGGGGCTGTAAGCTAGGGAAAGAAAAAGACATTTCACTGACCCTGTTGCTTTATTTCCCAGAACGATTCAATACCTCAAGAAGATTTCACTCCAGAAGTGTACAGAGTTTTCCTGAACAACCTTTGCCCTCGACCTGAAATTGATAACATCTTTTCCGAATTGTAAGAGAACAACACAGCATTTTAACCCACTCTTTTTCAGCTTGCAGGGGTGCTCGGGGTGGCTCTGGCAGGATTTTGAGCAATAGAGGGAGACAGAACTCTTTGGGCACTGTGAATGACAACAATGCTTCTGTGTCATTTGTTGGAGACAATCAACATTCCTACCCGTGAGGTGCAACCACTGCTTTTAATGAGTGGATGTTTGCTATGATTTGTTGCTGGGTGTTGGTGTTTTAGTATCCCCTGGGGGCTCTGTGTGGTTTGAAGATTATGGCTAGAATAGAGCATCTTGGCTCCGTGGAGGTAGACTCATGATGCAGGAAGAACTCTGACCAGGGGACCAAGTCAGGTTATGTCTCGGACACGCATTAGTGAAATGAAAACTCTGGATTGCTAAGAACCCTCCCAGCTGAAAGTCATTTGCTTTTATTTTAGAAAATATATAGACATTCCTTTGAAAAAAAGAATGAGAAAAAGAAAAGAAACAAACCAAAACACCAGGGCAAATGCAGGGCTGTAGCAATTCACCTTTCCTAGTTCACTGAAATCTACATGATAACAGAAAATCAATCCAAAATTTATCAACAAAAGAAGGATTTTTTTTATGTGGAAGACAGGTCAACAGTGCTAAGAATGACACTGGATATACCCACTTTGTGATGCTCATTGCTATCAACAATGTTTTGAGCATCAGCAGTAATTGTACCATTGAACTTGTCTTTGGGTTGTCAGGCTTGAAATGGGAAGCTTGGATCACGCTATGTTGAAGACTTACAGATTTTTGCTGAAGCATAAACTTTAATGAAAAGAAAAATGTACCCAGGTTGTTTACTTTTTTTTAGTAATGAGTAATAAATACATCTCTAAATGAGTAAGTGGGATGTGGGAATTTGATGACTAAACCAGAAGGTTAGTGTCATAATAAAAAACAACCTATACATCTGTGCTCGCTTCGGCAGCACATATACTAAAAAACAACCTATACGTCTATGTTCAGTTGAGAGTGGTGCATCTTTACACACAAAATGCGAAGTTTCCCTACTGTAGATTCTCTTATGCATCTGGTATACTTCAAGGGCATTGGGATTTAGTGGCAGGGATTGCAAAAGATATTTGCATCCCATAGAATGCAGCAACTGTGATAGGGCAACACATGTTTTCAGGGTAAGATAGGAATGTCCAGATGTCTAGCACGCAATTACCAGGTAGGGCAATATTGTTTCTCTATAGTTAAATGCAAATATATGGATGAGACTTGGTGGACAAATATTCTAATTTCTGGTTTTTAATTGGTTTTAGTGGTGCCAAAAGCAAACCATACCTTACCGTCGATCAGATGATGGACTTTATCAACCTTAAGCAGCGAGATCCCCGGCTAAATGAAATACTTTACCCACCTTTAAAACAAGAACAAGTCCAAGTACTGATTGAGAAGTATGAACCCAACAATAGCCTTGCCAAAAAAGGTCAGTCCACTTTGCCCCACACTATAGGGAAGTTGTGGTTTCTAATTGTGAATGGGTAACCCCCTGGTAAGTATCGACATCAAGGATTGTTTAGGTCTGTTTCCCACATTTGTATGCCTGCTTTCCTTTCTGTCTTAAATCACTAGTGGTTCAATTAGACTTCCGCATGTGATTTTGTTGTTGTTGTTGTTATGTGTATGTATGCATATAACATATTTTTTAAATGTCTAATCATTTGTTTTCTCTTAAATTTACCCAATGACTGAATGCATATTTCTCATACAAGAAATTCCCTATCTTAAAGGTTGCCTTTTTGGGGGCACCTGGGTGGCTCAGTCAGTTAAGCGTCCAACTCTTGATTTTGGCTCAGGTCATGATCTCAGGGTTGTGGAATCGAGCTCCATGTTGGGCTCCATGCTGGGTATGGAGCCTGCTTGAGATTCTCTCTCTCTCTCAAAAAAAGGAACATGTAAAGTTTGCCTTTTTGTCTCTGTTTCTAGAAGTTCTGTAAAATGACCCACAGCTTTTTCTAAATCTCTAAAACTAAAGAGAATATTTAATCCATTAGACCCTTATTTTATTCTAGTTTACACTATTGATGAATTTTTCCACTTGGGAAAATATAAAATATAAAATTTGGCCTTTTATATGTAAAAAAAAATCAGTGTTTCTAGAAAAAATTATTAGTCTAAAATTAATATCAGAAAGACAGCTTTCAGTTGCCTGGAAGTTATTAGGAAATTTATGTTTTTGATTCTGGAAAAATGAATTGCTAAAATAAGATCATGATGATTTACTTGCTAGAAGTTTTCAATCATACATGGCATCACGTCCCTGAATTGGCTCTTCAGCTTCCTCTTTACTACTAAGACCATGTCTCACCTGGACTGAAATATCTTCATTGAGAAAACTGGTGTCTTATCACTGATATTATTGTAAACTGCCTAGATATTACACAGGGAGGAAAATAAAGTGCAACTAACCAATCATTAAGAAAAAATAAATTGTGTGTTATTCTGCAACCAGTCGTCTAAATGAAAAAAAAAAAGAATCTATTAAGTATAAAAGTAAAATATTACCATTGATTTTATCATACATGTTTTTAGTTGGAAACTTACAGATGAAATTTTTTGGATTTTATTCATTTTCATGGTCAAGGGCTTTGCCTTTGCTGTCAGCATCATCCTTATTGCTGCCATAGAGGTGAGGTCAGTCAAAGGAAATGGACGACCCAATGGTGTGTGTTGCCATTGTTGGGCCCAGCCCCCTGACACCCTTCCGTCCCCAGCACCACGGACATGGTATTTCTTCTTAGCGTGATGCAGGGAGTAACTCCTTGCAGATTTCACCGGGGCAACTTGAAATCTGAACTTCACCAAAAATAACTAACACAGTGTTATAACAAATCCAACAAGACCTCTAAAAACAGCCCATGACACAAAGGAAACAAATAGCTTTTGTGAAACCAGTGAGGCACTTCAGAGCCTAAACTTTGCCCCTCCCTCCACTTTTCACGCCACACTGTGGACGGTCCATGCCTCAGCCTGCGTATAACACCTCTATCCATCATACTCTGACCACCTGAAGGCACTAGAGGATACAAAGAGAGAAATTTGTGACACATTATTGTAACCCTCTATAACCCTGGCAGAACCTATTTTGATTCTAATGGAAATTAAGATGATATCTCTTAGCATTTGCAAATTTATTTAATGCCATCTTACAGATATACTAGATATGAATTTCATAATCACAGCAGGCACACAAATTTCAGGTACATTTAGAATACCAATTTCAGGGGCGCCTGCGTGGCTCAGTCGGTTTAGCGTCTTCCTTCAGTTCAGGTCATGATCCCAGGGTCCTGAGGTCGAGTCCCGCATTGGGCTCCCTGCTCAGCAGGGAGTCTGCTTCTCCCTCTGCCTCTCGCTTTGCTTATGCCTCTCTCGCTCTCTCTCTCTCTCTCAAATAAATAAATATAATCTTTTAAAAAATTAAATAAATAAAATAAAATACCAATTTCATTTATTTTTCTACAACTTAATATGATACTGATGATAAGCCTCCATGTTGGCCCTGATGTGATTTTTTTTAAATCACAGATTTCATTTCTTAACCCAAAAACTCTTGAAAGAAAATGAACTTGAGAGTCATTTTGTTTGCTGCTTTGGGTCTGTTTATGTGAGCAAAGATACTAAAGAAAAGTGCTTTATTGTGTTGACTGTTATTTCATTGTCAAAAGGATAATGATTTTGAAATCTTCCTTTGTAGGACTAAGAAATTGCTGGGTTAAACCTCAATTCGCTAGTAATTATGAGTTTTAATAATTTTTTTATCCAAAGATGAAAATCAGTTTTTGAATTTGGTTTTGTTGTTCACATTTGATGTTTGACTTTAGGATTTTTTCAAAAACTCTCTTTTGTATCTTCTCTAATTATAATATAACTACAAGTAAAATCAAAGTACAATTTAAGAAAGTATTCTTTAATTTCAATATGACAACTGGTATGGATTTGCAAGGAAATTAGCTTTCATTCATTATGTGACTTTCAAAATGTACATTATCATTTTGTAAAGAAGCAAACCAAATTTTTTTTTTTTTTCAAAACTGAAAACTGGTGGAATCTTTATTGGATGACTTTGCTTAGAACAAAGAGGTTACAAAGCTAGAATGAATACTTTGCATTTTATATTACACAAGACAGAAAGTACATGAGAAAATCCAAATCACTGACCTATGCCAATTACAAGAGCTTCTCATGGGTATAAAATACAGGTATTCCTGAAATATGCATCAATCTGTCAGGTTAATGAACACGTGGGTACCACTATGTTTAAGAAACTACTATGGAAATAAAACTAGAGGATTGATTATCTAAGCAAAACTTTCTTTGGCTCTTTTAAAGGATGTGTAGCCAGGCCCTGGGTTTCAATTTTTCAAGTTTAGTTTTAGCTACAATGGATCTCCTTTATGTGAAGAACATGTGATTCTCTCTAAACTTTGAAATAAATTTCAAAGATTTTTGTATCTCCTCCCAGATGACAGATTTGCTTAGGATCCTGATTTGAAAGGGATCTCAGAGAGTATCATAGGAGTCCATCTTCCCATCTGATACAGAAATCTCTAGACACCTGACAGATGGCATCAAGCCGTGGTTTCCTGCTTCATGCTTCAAGAAGCAAACCAAAATTTTGAGGTCAAATGACTTACCTGAGGTCTCATACCAAGATACTCTTTGAAAAAGCGAGGTTGTTAACTTTCAGCCAACTAGTTAATACATTTTGATTAGTAAACACAAAAGGAAATAAGTAGGCTACTAGTAGGATATAATAAGTATATTACAGTGTAATATTCTTATATTAATAAGTGTACTTAGAATAAATAAGATAGAATAAGATAGAAATCAGTATATTACGTAATTTTTTCTGCTACTTTCATTTTGACTAGTTCCTCAAGTGTGCACAAGCATTGGTTATATTGACCCACGAATTCAATTTCAGTTATCTGAAAAAGACACTTCCATATTGCCTCTATTTGTTATAAAATGCTAAGAATAAGATACATCCATATTGTACATATTTAATAATCTAACTAAATCCTCTGATATCAAGAAAGTTATTTTTTAAAGTAGGTGTTAAACAAACTACACAAAGTTGCCATATGCTAATGTTTAGTTTTCATATGCACTTTACATAATTTTTACATAGGAAGTAATCTAAAATTAAATGAAAATTTTTCAATATGGCCAAATGCCTAAATGCTTAAACTGACCATAGGTTAGTCGACTAAACATAGACGTGTGAAATGAAAATCCAGAAAGGATGATAGACTTTGATGCTTTGTGGGCCTGCTGTCATTGGCAGGTTGGCCACATTTCCATGCTGGAATTTCTGTTTCTGAAGCTGTATGTATTGGTTATAAATAATCACAGGGTTTCTGTGCAGTGTAAGGGCCAAATGTGCACATGTTTGGGCTCCACAAAGAAAAAGTTTGAATCTTGTTGCAGAAAATACTATTCTCAATGGAGTTTGGTTTTATTTTTATGATTGAAAAATCACACATTGCAAAATGCTTTGGTGCATCATGTTGTTTGCACTGGAAAAAAATGCATAATGCTATAAACCATGTTTAACACAGAAATACACGATGACCCTGGCCTCCTCCAAACCAAAGGGTCCTGAACGTCAGTTTGAAGACTAATGTCTCCCAAACAGAGTTTGTTTGGTTTTTTTAATTACTTACACCTTTGAGAAGGAAGGCAATGAGTAAAATTAGCATGAAAAAGAATAAATTGATGCCTTAGGTAACAGACTACAGATTAGATTGAACTGTTCTGGCTGAAAAAGAAGGCCAAAATTCATTTTTAAAAAACCAAACCCAGAGAAAACATTTGAGTCTGATCACATTTTTATTTTTCTGTGAAGAGCAGGTGTTCATGAGGATTTGTTAAGCAATTGAATTAATATAGCAGATTATGATATTAGCAGATGTTTCAAGCTGTGTTCCTTTTTTTATCAGTCCTTCCTCTTAAATTTTTATGAGGTGTGTTGTACAAAAGCTTCCCCACTTTGTTGCAATTAAATCACCAAAATGAAACTATATCATCTCTTTTAGTATTTGATCAGTACTCACTGAATTAATAAATAGTTGAAATGAACTCAAAATACAATAGCAAATTGTTTTGGTTTTAAGCAAAGCAAGTAGAAGTTGAGGTATAGCAAGCATTTTTGCTTCAAATAGACCTACGCTAATGATTACATCAGTAGAAAAAACCTATCGCTTTTTCAAGATATATATTTTAAATACTTATACAATTGAAATATATTATACCATTATTGTCAATGGCAAGACACAGTGTGCTAAAGGAAGCACTGGACTTGAGAGTCTTGCCAACTGTACTATTAGGTGATACTCCTTCAGTAGAAAAATGACAGAAGCTTAATTCAAACTGAAGCACAGAAAGAAATTTATTGGTTGCTTATGAGCAAAAAGGGAGTGTTTT